TTTTTTTCTGGCACAGATGGCTAGAAAGCCATGAAGGGTGGGAATTTTCTTTCCCTTTATAACCCAAGGGAACAACATCCAATTGTACTGCATCTGTTGTGATCTAGACAATGGCCAGCAAATAGTACAAGGCAAGAATGAAACCAAGGAATGGGCAGTGCAGAGGCTCCGTTGTTAGCACTGCTGCCTCACAACGGCAGGGTCCCAGGTTCAATTCCAGCCTTGGGCAACTGTCTATGTGGAGGTTGCATGTTCTCCCCTTGTCTGCGTGGGTTTCCTCCCACAATCTAAATTGTCTAATTTGTTGGTACTGTACAGGCTAGGTGGATTAGCCATGGTAAATGCAGGGTTATGAGGACAGGATGAGGAGTTGAGTCTGGGTGGGATGCTCTTTGGATGGTTAGTGCAGACTTGATAGGCTAAATGGCTTATTTCTGTACTGTACGGATCCAATCATTCCATGAACCGGTTCATGTAAAGAGTGTGCTATACTACATAATCCAATCTCTCACACAGCAACTCTGTAATTTTTCAAATGCTGACTGCCTAACACCACAACATAGGAAGAATACTGGTGGACCACAAAGTCTAAATGGGTACCCCTCTCTTCCTAACTCATCCAATCCTAAATGCGCTTGTTCTCTATGAGTTAGATAAGTAAATTGATTGACCTTTTTTGGGAATGGGTAGAGGATGACAGCAACATGGAACTAAGCTGTACTCATTTTCCAATTCATATGGAATGGGTGTTACGAGTTCCTCATCGTCAACAAAGGAAGGTAAAACATTTAATTTTGGAGATATATTTCAGAAGAGAAGAAATATTTAGTTAGCAGTCTCACAGCTAAAAGACCTATCTCTTTGTTATTCACTTGCCAATTCTTTCCCTCCAAATGGTCAACATGGCCGGCCTCCAAATACATCATCTAGCTAATACTGTTCAAACATTTCATTAACTTTTAATTGTAATTCGATGCACATCAAATATAGCATTCCTCCTCAGGAAGGAAAGAACAGATGAGTTAGCCTATCTCCAGTTTTAGGCTTTTAAAAGCCATAATACAGGATATAATTAATATTTATAAAGATCAAAGTTAATTAAAGAGGAGCCAAAGATTTTTCCTAAATTCTAAACATCATATCATAATGTTAATTGGTTAAATTATGGGCGTGATGCATATAGATTTTGAAAAGGCACCTGATAATTAAGGCATCCCCTTTTCAAAAGGGATGGTAGCAACATTGATGAAGAGTTGTTTAAAGAAGGGAAGCAAATGTAACATTTCTGAAGCAATTTAAATATTGGTAGATATTTATGGGGAGGCAACGGCCTACTGGTTTTATCGTTTGACTGTTAATCCAGAGATCCAGGTAATGTTCTGGGGTTCCGGGTTCAAATCCCACCATGACTGATGGTGGAATTTGAATAGAATAAAATCTAGAATTAAAAGTGTAATGATAACCATGAATCTATTGTTGATTGTCATAAAAACACACCTGGTTCACTAGCGTTCTTTAAGAAGGAAAACCGCCATCCTCACTTGGTCTGGCCTCGTTAGGGGAGGCAATGGCCTAGCGGTATTATCACTGGACTGTTAATCCAGAGACCAAGGTAATGTTCTGGAGGCCCGGGTTTGAATCCTACCACGGCAGATGGTTGAATTTGAGTTCAATTAAATACCTGGAATTAAGAATCTATTGATGACTCTGACCCCATAGCCAATTGTCAGAAAAACATCTGGTTCACTAATATCCTCCAGGGAAGGAAACTGCCATCCTTACCTGGTCTGGCCTACACGTGACTCCAGACCCACAGCAATGTAGTTGATCCTTAACTGCCCTCTGGGCAATTAGGGATGGGCAACAAATGCTGGCCTAGCCAGTGATGCCCTCATCTCACGAAGAAAAGAATAACCGAGGGTCAGTGCTGGGATCATAGCTCAGAAATAAAACTTCAAATTTTACAAGTGACATAAAAGTAAAGAAAAATCTGTTGTAGTTTAAAAGGACAGTGAATTAGTATTTGATGTCTTGAAAAAGGTTAGAGGGAATTGGAAGACAGATTTTCCAGAGATCCAACAAACATGGGCTGAATGATCTCACTCTGCACTGTAAAGTTCAATAAATCATCAAATTAATCAACTAATTTGTTTACTTTACTGCAGTGACTTAGAGCTGCTAGAGGGCTACAAAAAAGGGCATGCCTGGATAAGTGCAGTTCCAACAATATTCAAAAAGCTCAACACCACCATGAAAAAGCAGCCTGCTTCATTGACACCCCATTTAACATCTTCAACATTCACTGCCTGCACCACTGACACACAACGGCATCAGAATGTACCATCTACAAGATACACTACAACAACACACCAAGGCTCCTAAGACAATATGTTCCAAACCTGCAATCACTAAAAAAGACAGGACAGCCAATACTTGGGAATATCACTATCTACACGTTCCTCTTCCAAGCCAAATCATGTTTGGAATGAGATCACTCTCCCTTCACTGTCACTGGGTAAAATTTCTGGAACTCTTTGCATCCCTCTTCATCAACAATAGCAGTTTAGCAGACTGGGAAGGAATCTGGGACATGAATGTAAACTATACAATAGTACGAAGACACCAGATGTTAGGTTTTCAGTGATTTGGAGACAGTAAGGGCTGCAGATGCTGGAAGCTAAGGTCAATAAATGTGGAGCTGGAGAAGCACAACCAGTCAGACAGCATCCGAGGACCAGGGAAGTCAATGTTTTGGGCCAAAACCCTTCATCAGGGATCCTCAGATGCTGTCAGACAGGCTGTGCTTTCCAGTTCCACATTTATTGACACCAGATGTTAGGTGTTTCCCCTCCCAGAGAGTAGTGGCCCTTTTGAACACAACTCTCACTGGTATGTTGGGCATTGATTCTGGATCACAATGAGGAATTGGACTGGTTTTGAGTGGAACAGAAATCCCAACATATAAATGATGAAAGTCTTCATAGGTAACACTAGCTGCATATAACGTCCTAGACTGATTTTAGCTTACCTCAGTGGATGGCAGTCGAATTTCTCAGACAATTATATTATCCGTGTCTATTTTTTCTCTTGTTTTTGCCTTTTCTAGTTGTTTACCGGTGTGCAGGAATGGATTGGAGGAAGGTTGGCCATCATGGCCTGGGACAAGCTTTGTTCGGCCAGCTGGTCCTATCTTGCCCATCAAATATTTGTGCAACAAAAGTTTATTATTAACGTGGCAAAATTCTCTCAATGTCTTTCAAACAGAAGGAAGTTGCAAGTTCTGGCATAGCATGAGCTATTTTATTCGAATAATGGAAAAAACACAATATTTCTTTGCGGTCAGTTTGATTACTATCTAGTTTAATCAACTTCAGAAAGTTTTCTTGCAAAAATATCTGTGCGAAATTGGAATATACAGAAAGGCATTCCTCAATTATTCCAAATATTTAATTTACACACAAATTAAAGGACTTACAGTCTCCCAGTACCTTGTCCCAACAATGCCCTACTCTTTCCATCTCTTACCTCATTTATGCCTATTATTGCAACTTAATTGTTCTAAGTCCATTTTCTGTACACTATCCCATCCCTTACTTCATCACTACTAAACTTGCTTTCAGTTGCCATCACATTCTGAAATTTTGTCCCTTGTTCCCCTGCATCCCCCTCTCTTCAATGTTACAACATTCCTGAACCTCCATCTCTTTTACCTACTTTTAGTCATCTCTCAGCATCATTCAATATCCATTTTCTTTCCTCACACTTCTGTTCAGCACACAGGAATTTTCTTATTTAAGGGGCTATGCAAATACAATTTGTTTTTGTGATTCTCTTGGCTCCTCAAATTCTTTTGCACCTCGCTAACAGTGGGAAAAGCCCTTAAACACCAGCTCTCCACACCAACAATTCCCAATTCAAAATGTTACTTGAAGTCAAAGAACAAGTTTGGAACAACAAATGATATGCCTGTTGACAGTTCTACACAGTTGAAGTCGATAATGTATGAACAAATATAGTAAATGGTACTCTGTATCTGTGTGAAAATTACAAGCAGCCATCAATACAATTCACTTAAATCCTAGAGTGAACACTAGAATTTAAGTCCTTTATTTATTTGCCAAATCAGATGCTAACCTATTAAAATATTTAGAGACTCATCTTTAGGCAATTATAAAGTAAAAATCATTACTTGTTCCTATCAATATTCAATACGATCTATACAATTATACAGTTAACTTTTTCCTACAAAATGACGTTTTCATGAATCTAATGCCTATTTATCAGCTTTACTTTTAAATAATCATATCAAACAAACGTTATGTCTGGCACCTAACCTGAAAAGAACAAGATTGCATGTGTACAGTGGTTTGAGAAAGAAATTTTGACAATTCATTGTGCCCAAGGATGTTTGTACACTTCACTATTGACAATTGCCAATTTCGAAGACTTTGATTTTATTTTCACCGTCAGAGTTGTCAACATTTAACACATGTAACCATATGTTGCGTTACAGACACGTACTGCAAATGAACATGCTTGGTAATTAGGACAGAATGGGCCTGGCTGTGTTGCTAACACACTGGCTTATCTGGCATTCCTTGTTTTGGCCTCAGATAGTGAGTATAACTACGCGGCAAGGTAACAAGGTGATATGCATTAGTGCAACCTAACCGAAGATGTAACGGGGGCGGGGGCGGTGGTGAAAGTCAAGTGTGACACTAATCCAAAGGAACGCAATTCCTACATCGAATATTTAAGTGTTCTAATGAGAGACAGTAAGTATCCCACAGGGTGTTTTGTACAAGGAGAGGACGTGACTCTAGTTAGCTGTTAAACCACGGAGACAAAAAAACATGCAATAAAAGGCGGCCTCCAACGAAGGTGAATCGTCCAGATGTCAGGCTGGATCCATCATATAAAACCATTCCCACCACCAGTCCATAAGCCGCTCCAGGAGAAAATAAACACAATTTCCCAGACCTCCAAAACTCAGCCTTTACCTTCAAGATCAGACGATGGATTCGGCCGCGAACCGACGTCAACAACAAAATCCAGAGCAGAAACATCCAGCTCCGGACAACAAACACAGCCGCCACCGCCATGTCTTGAGACAACGTCACCATCCGGATGAACTTCCGGGATCAGAGGTCACCGGCAGCGAGGCCCGCCTGCAGCGGCGTCAACGTAAAAACCAAGGGAATTGCGGATGCGGTAAATCAGGAACAAAGACAGAAGTTGCTGGAAAAGCTCGGCAGGTCTGGCAGCATCTGTGAAGAAAAAAAAATAATCAGAGTTAACGTTTCGGGTCCGGTGACCCTTTCGCAGTTCAGAACTGAGGACTCGAAACGTTAACTCTTGAGTTTTTTTCTTCACAGATGCTGCCAGACCTGCTGAGCTTTTCCAGCAGCTTCTGTGACAGCGTCAACATAGAGCGGCGCCGTACAGTGCAGAGGGTATCTCCGTTTGAAATACTAATCTCTATCCACAGATGCTGCCTGACTGACTGAGCAGCCTTTGTTTCAATTTCACAATTTCAGCATCTGCAGATTTTTGCTTTTGTCAGGAGTAAATTTATTTGTACTTAGAAAATAAAGAACTAATATAAACAAAGGAGTAAATGTACTTAATTGACACAAAGCTTGCTCAAACTGGATTGTTCTTTCGAGCAGTGAATGTTAAAAGGAGACTTGATAGAAGTCTTCAAAATCACAAATGGTTGTGGTGAGTAAATAAGGAGAACTTGATTCTGACAAGTATCAAGAGGGTACGGATTAAAATGCAGGACTATGGGAACCAAAGTGTAAAGGAATGACACGAGTAGTTTAGCTCTCCCAAAGAGCTGGCACCAGATCAGGTTTACGTCCAAATTAACATCAACAACAAATTCCAGAGCAGAAAATTACAAATGAAATGTTACAGATTTACAGAGGAAAAGGGAAGGTTGGGAGGTGAAGCAATTATTAAAAGGATGGAAGGTTTGAATCTCAAGTAAAGAGAACGATAACCATTTTGAAATTGATTGACTCAGGGAATAGCAGCAGGCTGACGATGAAATAACTCCACAGAGGCTGGTATTCCATCACCAGGTCACCCTTTATTTACACATGGCAAATCCTTGACACTGATCCAGCTCTGAGGGAGCAGAACTTCTGTTTATTTTTATATATATATATTTTTTTTCCCATGTATAAGTGCGAGACTCAATAACAACACCAAGTCTACAAGTAAATATTAATATGCCACCACCAGAGAAGACGCCCCTATGACCAAAGAACCAGAAATTCAAATCAGCAAGTTAGGGAAAGAACCCCTGTTTATACCAGGGCTCCCTGATTGGGCTACAATAACAGCTGTAATCAGGGAACTCATATTCTGTAATGTCCATCTGGCTGACCTTATTACAATCACTACGTCCCTCCCCTCTGAGTACAAGGATGTAGGCCTGTTCTTTTTCTTGTAACCTCTTCTGGTGCATTTTTGCAGCAGGTCAGGTTCTTCCAACTCTGCTCCTGATGCAGGTGGCATGTAATGCACAATAGCTTGCCTCTTGCACGCAGAGAGTCACGGAAGAAATTCATTCTCTTCTTCAGGCAGCAAAGGCGTCAAGGTGATAATCACCATGTCCATCTCAGATTCCGAGGTATCTTCAATGATTGATGGAGATGGAGAACCCACGGATTCCGGAACAGTCAGAATAGCTGTCAAGGAGCCAGGCATGTTTTGCTCCCACACAGTTTGCAAGTTGCAGCTTTCTAATGGTCCACGGGATTGTTTTGAACCATTCCACTTACTCAAACTTCATATGTCACTGGACCTGACCTCGTGCCGACGATGCCTCTTGGCCATGCAGGGCCATTCTCATGGTTCTTACACCAAACTTCATCCCCTGAAGTAAACTGTCTCTCTCACTTAGCAGAGTCTTGTGTCTGGCATTGGCGTTCCTGACATCGTTTCACACTCAGATGGCCAGAAGTGACAATGTGAGCTGTGTTTGCCCCAAAGGACTGTAACGTGCCACACATCCAGCAAGAAAACTGAAAAGATGGGCACCCAGAAGAAGGGGCAGGGCAGAGAGGAGATAAAGAATACCACTGTGGAAGCATAACTGACCCAACCTCCACCTGAGCAAATGGAGTCAATGGAGGAGGGGGAATCAAATGGGGCGGGGGAGTGGATATCGGTGAGAAACGATTAGAAAAGGAAAACACATCAGACCTCTAAAAGGCCTACAGCAAAACAGAAAGAGGCAGCTGAATGATGGACAATCCAGCATCTCCTCTGACAATGTAGGTGTGCAGAGGGATGGGCATCAACAGAAAAAGAGGCACAGCAGGACGGGAGAGAAGGGAAGAAGGGAAACCTGGAAACGCCAAACATCTTGAGGGGCGTGGTGAAGCCCAACATCCAGCCATTGGGAACCATGGGGTAACCACCCAACCACAGCTCTGAATCAGGAGCTGAGCACAACAGTCCCTCTGCCAGATTCAGAACCGGAACTTCCTGGCTTCATTCCCACCCTAATGACACCGGACCAGGGCAATCTCCCCAGGGAGGAACAGGACGGCTACCTCAAGTCCAGAGAGTGTCCAACAGTTCGCCCACACTACAGGGATGCAGGGAGTCCCCCAGTGACAAGACCACGGTGAATGGACATTGGGTTTTAAAATTGGCAGTATTAACATGTGTAGCGTTAAATCTACTATGTGATGTGTTTCCACGTTGTCTTACCTGGCCAGCGTCAAAGCAGATCGCCTGCTTCTGGAGTGTGGGATATTGCACCTCAGCAGCTACTGGAAATAGTCGAGCTTATGGACCCACTGGCCTTTGATTTGGTTGGGGGAAACGCTAGCCATTCCTCCGGTCTGGGTATTCTGCTGCAAGAAGGCAACTTCACCCTCTCCAAAGTTAAAGGGGTGGGTGCAACCTCATAGCAGAAGTTATGTATAGAAATGTTCACCTGAGACTAATTACGCCCTGTGGTAAAGAGTCAGCAGCTGGCCATTCTGCGCCAGCTCCCACTGCTACTGGCGATGTCCAGGTTGATCATTCTGGCTGGAGACTTCAACTGCATCATCGATATGGATAGACAATCCAGAGGGACTGACAGTGATGTGGACTCCACATCTGGATTCCTGATGGAAACAGTTAAAGTTGCCAAGCTGCACGACATCTTCAGCACCCTTGCAATCAGAGCACAGCATAGATACACCAGGTCGTGGCCAGATGGGTCTATCCACTCAAGGATACGTTTCCTATTTGTGTCCTGCGCGTTCTCTGTCATATCCATCGACACAAAGCCAGTGTTCTTCTCTGACCACTGCCTCCTGCTGGCTGACTGTCACCTATGGGACGACCAGTGGGCCAGCATGGGTACATGGAAGCTGAATGTGAAACTGTTAACCCTAAAAAACATTGAGGAACTCAAAAGAGTGTCTTCATCAGACTGGTGAGAAGATCAAGAGCAACATCTAGAGGTTCTTTTTCCTCAAAGGCATTCAGAATGCAAGAGAGAGATGGGGGAAACTGTCAAAACTCCAGAAAACCATGCAGAACCTACTCCAGCAGCAGACGATAGGGGTCGATGTCATGGAGGATCTCCCAGAGGTCAAGAGCCAGCAAGCCTTGCTCCTTGCCTCGGAGGCCTCCAAGATAATCTTCCAGTCCAGGGTTCACTCAGTGGATCAGGATGAGACATGCTTGTGTTTCTTCTTCCAGAAGGTGCACAAGGAGAGCTCTGTGCTCAGCAGTCTGAGGGAAGACGATGGCTCCTAACGTCATCTCAGTCTGACATACTGAGGATCAGCAAATTCTTTTATGCCAGTCTGTATGACATAAAGCCCACAGACATTGCAGTCTCCTAGTTGTTCCTGTCCTCTGTCACAGGCAACAACACACAGGAGCGGCTGGATCAGCTGTTATCTCTGGATGAGCTGACAAAGACCCTTAAGAACAGAATAAAACTCCTGGAAGCAACAGCTTACCAGTGAAGTTGTATTCCACTCTGTGGAGCTTGATTGGCCAGGACCTGATGGAGGTGTACGAGAGTTAGCTTCTGTCAGGTAGCGTGTGTAAAAATGTGAGGAAAGGTATCATCACCCTCATCTACAAGCGGAAGGAGGAGGAAAAGGAAATTAGAAATTGGCGACCAATCTTGTTGCTGAATGCAGCCTACAAAATCCTGTCTAAGGTCATCGCCAATCAGGTCAGGTCTACTCTGGGAATTGGTGGTTCATCCCGACCAAACCTGTACTGGGCAGGACAATCTCTGAGAGCCTGTGTTCCTCAGGGACATGAAGGCCTACGTGCAGGACAGGGGGTGGATGACTGCCTCATCAGCCTGGACCAGAGTCAGGGTGGCCTGCCCATTCTCTCCTACCTTGTTTGAGTGTTGTATAGAGCCTTTTGCTAAGTACATCAGGAAGGATGTGAACCTGAGAGGGGTGACTGTTCCAGGCAGCGGAGGTCTGCAAGTCAAAGCCTCCCTGTACATGGATGACAGCTTGGATCCACTGTCAATACACAGACTCATGAGCATCTGCAACCAGTTTGATCTGGGCTCAGGAGCCAAGGTAATTTGAGGCAAGAGCGAGGCCATATTCTCTGGGAACTGGGCTGATTGATGCTTTGTTGCCTTCACCATCAGGACAGATTACCTGAAGGTGCTGGGAATATGGTTCAGAGAGGCCAGGTCACACAAAATCTTGGGAGGAGCGCATTGCCAAGGCGAAGCAGAAACTGGTCGTTTGGGAGCACTGCTCCCTCTCCATTGCAAGAAAAACCTGATCACCAGGTGTGAGGCACTCTCTTTGTTGTTGTATGTGGTGCTGATCTGGCCCATTCCAAAGCTGTGCTGTTTTAGTCACTTGTGCCTTCTTCCGCTTCATCTGGAGGTCTAAGATGAACTGTGTCTGCAGGGACTCTGTGTACAAAACTCTGAATAAGGGGGGAAAAGAACATACCCAATGTCAGCTTCATCCTGATGGCCAGCTTTGCGTGGGACTGCATCAAGCTGTGCATAGACCCTTGATACACAAATACCGAGTTTCACTACATGCTGGGGTTCTATCTGTCCCTGGTGCTGAGAAGGATGGGAGTGGCCTAGTTGCTGCGGAACACTCCAAGTAGTTGGACCGTTCTGTAT